GACTCTGGGATCATGACCTGAGCCAAAGGCAGACGCTTAAAGACTGAGCCACCCAGGTGCCCCCCAGAGCCTAATTCTGCTATAGCTTTGAAGACCCTCCAATAGGCTTAATAGCAGTATTAAGTTCTTCAGTTCTGTTTATAAGTGAAAGTGGAGAATACTCTAGTATATTAATATCTGTAGCTATATTGAAAAAAGGGTTAACTATTCAGTTGGGCTACAAAATTAACACATACAATTGCTGGCTTCTGCTTTTTCTGTGTACCTCAAAAGCCTGTGGCCCCATTTTAGTACCTTGGTTTTAAGTTTCAGTCTTGTTCATTTTTTGTTTTTTTTAAAGCTTTATTTATTTGAAAGAGAGAGAGTCTTAAGCAGACTCCACCCTAAGCTCAGAGCCTGACGCCAGGCTGGATCTCAAGATCCTAAGATCATGCATGACCTGAGCCAAAACCAAGAGCCGGATGCTTAACCGACTGCACCACCTAGGTGCCATTGTTTGTTTGTTTGTTTGTTTTTTTAATTTGACAGAGAGAGAGAGCGCGCCAGAGCACAAGCAGGGGGAGCGGCAGGCAGAGGGATAGGGAGAAGCAGGCTCCCCACTGAGCAGAGAGCCCAACACAGGGCTCAGTCCCAGGATCAGGACTTGAGCCAAAGGCAGACGCTTAGCCGACTGAGCCACCCAGGCGCCCCCAGGTACCATTTTAATGATATTTTAAAATCTTGTGTTATGTATACCGTTAAATATTATGCACTGGCTATAAAAAGAGCTACCTATCTACCTACCTACCTATCTATCTCAATGTGGAAATATCTCCAAGACATACTGTTAGGGGAAGCAAGTTAATGAGAAATATGTTTAAGACATACTGTTAAAGGAGACAAAATAATAAAATATATTTTAAGGGAAGCAAGTCACAGAACAATATATATAAAAGTGATCTTATTGCTATTTTAAAATTGCATATAGTTCTACATCTGCATGGAAAATTTCTGGAAGAATATCTGTCAAACAGCTCAGTGTTCTCTCTGGAGGTGGGACTAGAGGAGAACTTCACTTTTGAAGTTTTCAGTATAGTTTGTTTTCCAGTGTGCATGTATTAATTTTAATCATAAAAACAAGACAGCTGAATTTGCACATGTATACACCCACACCTGCCATGAACTGTCATTAAGACCATTGTCCAGAAACCAAGAACTAAATGCATTAATCTCGGCTCAGTGCTCAGTGTTTGTTTATGGAGCGAGATGTCTCAGAACTTGATACTGAGGAAGATATATTAATGATGTGCGTACCTTATGTCTTGGGAGGCAAAAGCTTTATCTATGCTTTTAATGTTGGCTCTTATCCAAAATATTTACCTTTACCAACAGATGTTTCAAACTGATTCTTTTTAAAGATTTATTTGAGAGAGAGAGCCAGAGAGAGTGCCCCACCCCAGAACAGGGGGGAGGGGCAGAGGGAGAGGGTGGAGGAGAGACTCTCAAGCAGACTCCCTGCTGACCCCAGAGCCTGAGCCTGACGTGGCGAGGCTCGATCTCACAACCCTGAGATCATGACCTGAGCCGAAATCAAGAGTCAGACGCTTAACCGACTGAGCCACCCAGGTGCCCCTGAAACTGATTTTTAAAATCTCTTCTGATCCACTTTTAGTTTTAAGTCTTCAAGCTGTGTTTAGCAGTTCTAATTCAGATATACTGTGAGTGGGAGCAAAAAACTGATTAGGCTTTAAATACGCAAGAGACAACACGTGATTTTCAGCAATCAAAGAAGCAATTAAGATAGATTTTAAACCAGTCCAAGGCCACTGGCTGTGCACGTCCCCCCAGCCCCCGGAGCCCGGATGCTGATGTCAGAGCAGCAAGCCCTGGCCCCTCCAGGCCCAGCACTGCCTGGCCTCCCTTTTCCACGCGTACCTGGGAGTTTTCTAATTTAAACGTTTTTACTTACACCAAAAAAACCCAAAAAACAAAAAACATAAATTTCTAAAATATTGGAACCTACTTGAAAAGAACTAGAGTGACTTGTAGGTACAAACCATGACTTGTATGTATGAGTATTCTTCAAAAATTTATTTATAGAAACAGACGTATCCAAAGGCAACATTAGACAAAAACAAAGAAAAGTTTGGAATGCCAACAACACTGGAGATTCTCACTTGCACTTTACGTTTCTTCACATGGAACTAGCACCATTGTAGTTCAGAAACCACAGATTTAATTACAATCGCTTCTAATATATAAAATATCTTATAAAGATTTTTCGACTATCTAGTAACAAAGTTCTTCCAAAAACTTATTTAAAAATCAATTAGAATTTACCATTTGAAATTGATGAAAACGGTTTAAAAATTGATCCAATTCTATGGCTTGTCAAAGGGAATGAGCCATAATTAGTTTTATTGGAAGAAAATGCCTGAATTCAGCTTCTGGCTTCCTTCTAACCACCAAGCAGGTACGGTAAATTGAATATTACCTACGAATAAGAGCACATCTAAAACCAGTCTTAGAAAATACTTTCCTAGACTATAAAAATACTAAATGGAATACAAAAATTTCAGCCTATACAGCAAATAGACTACAGCAGACAAATATTTAAAACATACTTAAAACTATCTTCTACCATAATCATCATGAACATCAAGTATTATCCTAATGATTTTTCTATGATTCATTCTGATTTGATGTTTATTTCCCCTCAAGTTTTGTTGTAACACCAGCGACAGACCAAATTCGGTGTTTCTCGCAGAAGTTCCTGGAGGCACCACTGAATAATTCTTTGTATTCAACTGGTTCTCAAAGTGCTGAAAGTGCAAATGTGGTAGAGCCTGTGTTTTTGAGATCGGGGGTCAGCAACCCCGGGCCGTGAACACAGCCACACGTTCATTTGTTCACGTTGTCTGTCTATGGTTGCTTTCGTGCCACATGACTGTATGTGGCCTCTGGGTCCCCCGAGTCTAAAACCTTTACTGTCTGGCCCCGTACAGAAAAAATGTGTCAACCCCTATTTTAGATAAATCACTGCAGGAAATGTTTTGCTGAACAGGGACAAGGCAAAATGGTCCCATTTGAAGAATATTTTGGCTGAGGTTTGCTGGTTCCATCATATAGTCAGATCGAAATAATACACATGTGGATTGGCAACTCTGGGTATTGAAATATTCTTCTGGCATCATAAGCAAAGTCGGGCTATGATGAAAGTACCTTCCTCTCTCTGTGAACTGGCTGTGATGTACCAAGTAACTCACGTACTTGACTATAACAGTGTACTTCCTGTTCAACCCAACCATCTATGTGGCTCCAACATGATTTCTAGCCTTTATAAATCAAAAATCTTATACCCTTGGCAATGGATAGAACTAGAAGTGCACCCTTCCCATCCGTCTGTATTCACATAGATTCTATCGGCACCGCACTGCCTTCCTTTTAGAATCCTTCCCTGTGACATGCATCATAATAATTGGTACTACCGCTACTCCCCAGGGCCACAAACATGTCCCTTTTGACAAATCGGACTAAGTTTTCGAGGGGGCACATAGGCTTGGAAGAATGCTTGTGGTGGTCCTGGCAAAAAGAGGTGTGGAATGTGACATCGACGCCATTGTAAAGAATCCGGACAGAATGCTCACTGGGCTTTTCTCTGTCTTGCCAGAGCTCCAAGATCAACCTGGCTGCAAACCTTGGGAATCTGGCTTCCATAAGGCCCAAGGCACTGAGAACTGGTGACAGAGTGACATCGTGAGCAGAGTAGAGGGCAAAGACCTCCTCTCTCCTGCCCTTCGCGGCGCGCTGCATCCGGCTGATGGTCTGGTTGAGGATGGGGTGGGCGCCCAGGAGCGCATAGCTCAGATAAAGCTTCTTCTCCCGCCTCTCTCTCTCATCTTCTATCTGATGTGTCTTGATCACCTTGAAGTGCTCCATGTCAATACAACCATTCCTAGTGCATGGGAAGCTGACATTATGGCAGAAGCGGCAGAGCATGGAGTCTATGGGGTTGGCAGCTCGAAGCTGCTTGGTGGGGACGTCCACGATCCTGGCCATGTCCTCATAGGTCCTCTCCAGCTGGCTGTTTTTCAAACGTAAGAGGTACTGCCGACGCTGCTCCTTTTCCAGATACTGGTTTCTCACGGGGCAATAGCAGTTTCCAGAGCAGAACAGAGCGCTCGGCTGGTGCCTAAAATGAATCTTCTTCCAGTCAAAATCGGGGAGAAAGCCATAAAGCAAGGCCAGCCCACTTTGTAGGGTCCGGCTTTTCCCAGTGGTCTCCAAGTAAAGCTGGTCTGTGGACCAGTCACTCGGTAGGAGTTTGTGTTTCTTTAGATAGATGTCCCTCAGCAGCTGGCCATTCTGCAAATGCTGCACGACTCCTGAAACACAGGGACACAAACCGTCCTCACTACCAGCTCGGCAAAAGAAGGAGCAAAGGGAGGCCGAGTCAGTGGCCAACTCTGCAGTGCTTTCATCAGTGCATGAGAATATAATCAAAACCATTCCCCAGCGTGTGGAAGCTACAAGAATGGGTTTGCAGGAACTCATGAGGGGAGCCCCTTGGGGTTATCCATGAAGGGATGAGCAGAGGAGGGGAGCACCAGGACCATCTGCTCAATCCCTCCCTTCCCTGGGAGGGGGCATTGTGACTGGGGGGTCTGGGAGGGCAGCAGTCAAGCTTCCTGGCAGATGTCAAGGCTGTAATTGGCATGGGCTTAAGGAGAACTTTCTCCCTCCTGCCCAGGGACACAGCATTCTTTAGTGTGCAGGGAGGGACCATGGAAATCAGTCAGGTAAAGAGAAAAAGGTGCTGCTGGCTGCTTAGTCCCCTCACTGTTGGGAGGTTCTCTCCTTCGCCTCATTCTCCCTACTCTCCCAAGTGAAGGCTTGCTGCCAAACTTCTAGGTACATTCCACCTAATCCTCCTGGACATTACTGGCTCATCAAGGACATTCTGTCTGCAGAGAGATGGAATGATCTCTCAGACACCCAGATAGAATATTTGAAAAAAAAAAAAAGCAAAGTGCAGAACAGTACATTTATTATACTCCTTTTAAATAAAAATGAGGGAAAAATAAGAATGTGTATTTGCAGTTGTTTGTATTTTGCATAAAGAAACTTTGGAAAGATGCATAAGAAACCAATAGCAATGGTTACCTGAGGAGATGGGGGCACAGAAATGGGGCAAAAGGAACATGGATAGGAACAAGAATTTTAAATTTACCTGTCAAGTAAAAGCTTAAAAAGTTTTAGTTTTGAACTACCACAGTACGGTAACAAACTATCTTTAAAAAAAAAAAAAGAAAGAAAGAAAAGAAAAGCCTTATCTTCAAGCAGGAGAAGACAATCCAAGATGAAAGCAAGCTCACCCTCCAGGCAACAGGATGGAGGGGGATGGAATCTCAGTAACAGATCTGAATTCTCTGAGGGTCAACCACACTCAGGCCCCCCCAGACCAGTTCATGACCAATGTTGCTTACTCAGATGCACAAACGGTGTGAAAACCTGAGACAACTCGAGGCTACGATGCATGAGACAGAGGGCACTGCACTGGCCCAGGAAGGGGGAACAGCTCAGGAAAACATCACAAAGGACGCCTGCGTCCCCTTCTGAAGGAAAAATATCGAGCGCAGAACTCCCTCAGAGATCTGGGCTGACACAGGTCTTAGGCATTTCCAGAATGGTTTGCAAAAAGAGGCAAACCATGATGACAAACATTAAGAATCTGTGTCTGGCCCCAGTTCACCTCTGGGCCTGCCTTATATTCCTAGGCTGCATATATTAGGGTTGAGGGCTTCTCGTGTGCCAAACCCTCCTCCTTTCATCCTCACAAAACCCCGATAAGGTAGGCATGTTATGATTATTCCCTCTTTTCTTTATTTCATAGCTGAGGAAACTGAGGCCCCGAGCCAATCACTGTGAAGAGTGGCAGAGGTGGCTGGCACTCCAGCCCCTATCTGGGCCCAACCTTGCCCTCCCTAGTCCCTGCTCGTAACACTTCCTCCCGGTCTTTTCAGGCAGAAATACTAAGTTCTAGCCAGTTAGGGCCTCTTAGCCTCTCCAAACACCGCCCATATCTTCATGACCTTGGTCATGCCCTTCCCCTTTCCCAGCCTAGAGAAATCCTCATCCAGTGCCTGGCTCCAATACTGCGGGCTCTGTAGTCTTCCTTCTTCCTCCTCCAGGGCAGACCAAGAATTCCTTCCTGTTCCCGTTCCACTGGATCTCCAGGACTTGAGCTGTGATCGCGGAGCGTCCCGCGGCAGTTGCATGCTCCTTTAGGACAAGGCGCGGAGCATCTATTCATCCAGCCACTCCCCGCCCCCCTACACTCAGCAGCTGCCAAAGCATCTTGAATAGAGTAGGCACTAATGATCGGTCTTATATAGTTACTGTGGGGTGCCAAAAGTGTTTCAGTTATAAATGGTTATTCTAACAGCTATGCATTTTTAATGAAATTTAAAATAGAAGATAAAAGTGAGCATTAAAAGAAAATTAGGGAACAGGAGCAAACAGTACCGTGAAAATGATTTCTCGAGTAATGCTGATTTAGAAAACGATGTAGATAATAGAACAACTGAGAAGAAAGGTAGGCATGAATGAGTGTCTCTAAGTGTGTGAGGGACAGCTCCCCCACCCTCTTCTCGGGGAACAGCCCGTGGATCCAGAGGCTGGGCAGGCCCCCACTGCTCAGTGCACAGTTGCCCTGACCTCCGAGCCGGCTGATGGACACTGACCCTGAAGGACCCCGTCAGATTTTCTCTTTCTTACTCTCTCAAGAATTTGGACTTGCAGTTCATCTCTAGGTGTGGCCAGGACTGTCCCTCTGTGGACAGACACGGAGCAAAACCACAGAGGCTGGGATAGACAGATTTCTTATTCCTGGTTCCGGTTTCTGGAGGCCTGGTCATATTCTTGCCCTCAGAGTCTGGAGTCACCCTGAATCCGTACAATAAATGTCCCTCTTCTGCTGGAGTTGGTTTCTGTTACTTGCAACCAGAGGGTCTACTAACCAATGGTTCTCAGCAAGTCAGGGAGGGCTTGGGGGGTTGAGTTGTCACAATAATATGGGGAGGAACATTCTGGACACCTACTGGGTGGGGGCCACGGAGCCAGGCAGTCTCCCCAAGGAACTGTTCTCTGACCCACATAACTTTTGAATGTACCACAAGATACTACCATGTGTGAAAAACCTATTTAAATACTTTAGCCTAGAGCCTGTTTTTTTGTATCATAAATACAAAACCATTTTTGCATACCATTAACATGCACTGATTTTTCCAGAAATGCAACAGAAATTAAGGGACATCTGTATTTTATTTTGGTCAGAACTTGTTAAAAAAATCATGTCCCAAAATGTGGTGTTAGAGTTCCCCATATAATATCCCTCGGTCTGCCAATCTACATTTAAGCATTTAAGTGTAAACAATGAACTATGTCATTCTGTTTCCTAGTGAGGGTGTGCTCAGGCTTTTATACTGAGACACACAGCATTATATAATAAATTCATTTCCTTTCGTTTCTCCTTTATATTATAGTTACGGTGCCTGATATAACTGCTCTTCTTTACAATTTTGTATCTAGAAAGGTTATAATTTTATTTGAATTTCACTTCAGGAGAGTGAAGGGAGCACCACAAAATATTTGTTACACAAAGGGGGTGCTTGGTCTGGTCGGAGGCGAACTCCTGTTTTAAACCACGGCAAACCTTGAGCACACAGAACTAATTATCAAAAGCTTTTGACAGAACTCCTTATTCAAGGCTAGTCTTCCAGAGCCTTCAGCTTTGCCCACTCTGTCACTATCATTCTCCCCAATAATAATGGCTTCAAAAACATGGCGAAACTCCGCAGGGCCAACCACAAGACAGAGACCTTCCTTCCATCAGAGTTGAGGTCCCACGGTACTTGTGGGATGAGGAAACAACATGGCCGATAGGTCCTCTCAATTCTTCCAAAAAGGCTGGTGACCATGCAAAGGTCCTTTGAGGTCCCAGACTGAAGTAGGAAGAAGCTAGAACCTACTGGGGGGCTCCCAGTTCCTTCTCTTCCTAACAGAGGTAGCCCCCCAGTTAACTCGCCAACCTGCCCTGACATCCGGAAACTGGCTGTGTAATGGTATGAACAGGGCTGTAGAGGGAAAGGTGGGCTTCTGTGAGGGACACACTCAGCCAAACAAACTCTGTGCTCACTGGGGATCTGCCATATGTGTTTGCTCCTGAGATCTCGCACATGAGAACTGATCAGGTCATTTTCTTTGAAGTTTCTAAGAACATGGGATTGGTTACATAAATTATGGCCCAGTAATAGTGGGATAATATGGAGACACCAGAAATGATGCTGTTCATGAATATTTATCGATAGGGAAAGATTATCACAATGTACTGTGAAATGAAAAAGTAGGTTATGAAAGAGTGTGTTTAGTGTGTGCACGCACACTGACACATGAAAAAAGATGACTAATGTCTTTTTTTTTTTTTAAGATGACTAATTTCTTCGGTGGATTGGGATTATAGGTATGTTAAACTTTTCTTCCTTTTGCTTGACTGTCTTTCCTAATTTCTCTTCCATTGACATATACTGCTCTTGCACTAAGAAAAAGGGTTATTTTTAATTTTTTAGAAATCAGATGTTCATTTAGATACCTTGGTGGACTCAGAGCTCCCCGAGGCGCCCATCCTTAGTCATCCCTGTGAGCCCACAGCACCTTGCCCAGGAGCGTTTGCTCCAACATATGCCACACGGAAGAGAGCGCAGGAGAAGGAGTGAGCCGATGGATGTCACACATACCTGTCTGCGTGAGCTCTCCCATCTCACACAGTGGGTGATTGGGGTAAAGAGGCAGGGAGTGTAAGGGGCTTTCGAAAGAGGCTCCGGATCCTTTCGACATGTGACTAACGAAAGCTTCCAGTTTAGGGTGATACGGTTTCCTAAAGAGACAACACAGAGAATTAGTGGTCACTATGCTCCAAAACAGTCCACAAGGGTTTCAACTTCAGCCAGCAAAATCCCAGCTGTGTCACGCCCTGCTCACCCATAATAACAGGTCCTGACTCAATCATTTTGATTTTTTTTTTTTTAAAGATTTTATATATTTATTTTGAGAGAGCGAGTGCGCAGAAGCAAGGGGAGGGACAGAGGGAGAGGAAGAAGGAGAGAAGAAGATCCCCGCTGAGCGCAGAGCCCGACACCGGGCTGGATCTCAGGACCCTGAGGTCATGACCTGAGCCAAAATCAAGAGTTGGATGCTTAACTGACTGAGCCACCCAGGCGCTCTTGGCTCAATCACTTTTTTTTTTTTAAAATAAAGATTTTATTTATTTATTTGTCAGAGAGGGAGAGAGAGAGACAGGGAGCGCACAAGCAGGGGGACCAGCAGGCAGAGGGAGAAGCAGGCTCCCCGCAGAGCAGGGAGCCCAATGTGGGACTCGATCCCAGGACCCTGAGATCATGACCTGAGTGGAAGGCAGATGCTTAAATGACTGAGCCACCCAGGCGTCCCGGCTCAATTACTTTGAAATTCCAGTATCATTACTGCTCGACCCCTGACGTTCCATGAGGTCAGCCTGGGCCCCCAACCTCTGCTGAAGCATCCATCATTCCGGGCACTGTGGGAGTCAGCTTTGCCCTCCCCCTCCCAGATCCCCAACCCGTGCGCCTCCTGTCTCCCTCCTCAGGAGTCTACCAGCTGCTACCAGACAGGCCCAGGCTGGGAGTCCTCCCTGATTTCTCCCTCCCCTGCTCCCATGCATGCCATCTGCTACCCAATCCTGCAGATGTGCCAGTCCTCCTGGAGGTTCTCTGCCCCTCTCTCCTGCATCCCTGCGGCCACTGCTTGGGTTCTGGCTCAGGCAGCTTTTGTCGGTAAGGCATGGGCTCCTCTTTGGCCTACCTGCGGCCTAAACTTGCCTTCTGAACAGCCCGAGGTCGACTTAAAAGCAAGACCGGTTGTCCCACTCCTGTACACTGCTACCTTCCCCCAGGACCCGTGCCCCTGGCCTCGCAGTCTGTCCTGGCCCCACCTCACTTTGAGGCTCAGGGCTCCCCACCCTCTCCGGTCTAATGCTGGGCGCTGGTCCCACATAACCCAGCGCCTTCTGTCCCCCCAACCACCTTGTTCTTTCATGCGTCCAAGACTTTCCACGCACCACCCCTTCCTCCTAGCAAACCTACCTCAGCCTTCACCTCAGTAATCCTTAACTGACCTCTGGGAAATCTCCTTTGAAGAAAACTAACTGGTTAAGATAACCAAGATTTCTATAGCTCTCTACAATTCACTATGCATTTTGTACATACAAGTGTCTCATTTTATGTGGGGTGGTAACGAAAAGCTAAAAAACGTCTCTTTTCTTAGAATACCTGACATTATTTATATTTCTGCCATGAAGTACATGGGGGTAAATCAAGATTTAATTCATGTTTCTGGTTGCTAGTATACAATTTCCCTGAACTATGAAATGACCTACAAATATATACACATTTTCTCCGAATAATGAGATGACCTATGAATATACACACCTTTTCTTTGAAATAATGAAATGGCCTATGAATGTATATACATTCTCCAGCTGAACAGAAGTGAACAGGTAAGACGTGAACAGGTAAGACAAGTTCCCAGCTAAGCTAAATCAGCATGAAAGGAAGCAAGGATTAATTGTTCTAATGGCAGACCTCTCCTGTCTGAAAGCCCAGTTAACTTTGGCTGCTAAAATGCTTTTATTATCTTTCAAAAACGTAAAACTAAAAAAGAGCCCATCTTTAAAAAAATGTTCTAAATTTAGAAAATGCTAATCCTGACACGGTATCGTCTAAATCATCCTGGATTGCTGCAGGGCACTCTTTCCATAAAAACAGAGGGTATGTTATTATTCCCGAGGCTAAAACACAGAAATATTTGCAAACTGGGGAATAAGAGTTCCAGACTGACAATGAGGCTGCCAATATGAATCCACATACACAAAGGCCATCCATCAACAGGAGTCAAATGTTCTGCTCCAGGCCATTATTTTGGGTTGGTGATTTTTGAGGATCTGAGAAGGTTTTGCTGCCAATTTCAGGAATGAAATTTCACTACTGGAAGTGTTTGCTGAGCTATCCCAGCTTTTCAGGACATCTGACTGCTTAATGATATGCTAATATCTAACTGTATACATGAGAACTTGTTTTTGGTCTGGAAAGATGGTGACTCATGGAAGAAAAACTTCACTTACAGAAGAGAGAGCAAATGGCTGGATCTTTTTAACAAGACGAGGACCAGGTAACCTGAGTCCCTGGGCCTGTCCTGGATCTAAATGACCAGATCCTGCCTGCGGAGTCCCATGGCCCCACCCCTGTAGCCAAGAGGGAACCGGGCATGTGGCAGATACTCCAAAACATGTGTGAATGAATTTGACTGGGAAGTACCCCATCCTTAGATGCTTTATGGAAAGTCCAGGCCTCCCATAATCTGTAGCAATGAATATGGCAAGTTCCTATACTGGTTTATTAAAATATTCAGATTTCAATGGAAATATGAATGAAACTGCTGTGATAAAGACTCTCTTTGAGTAAACTATAGTTAGGCTCCTCTGAACCCTCTTTCCAACTAGGCCTCAACTTTAGGACTTCCACATTCTTTGGACTTATATCCATCTTTGTATCGCTCCGTTTTAGCAAAAATCCTGATAAGTTGAGTTAGCCAGAATCTCCCGCTCTTGATATCTGATCAAATTCCTCATCTAAAAAAAAAAAAAACTTCCTCATCCCCCAGATGGTATCTGCTCACCCTGGCCTGCCTTCAGCAATCTCCTCACCCCTGAGGTCTCCTCTTAGTTTCCATCCACTGACCTCCACCCTGCTCCTTGGCTATAAATTCCCATTGCCCATGTTGTATTTGGAATTGAGCCCAGTTCTACACTGAGATCTCTTTTCCCCTCCCGCATTAGTTCCTGAATACAATCTGTTTTTACTACTACTAACTACTGTCTGGCTCTGGTTTTTCTTTTAACAGCTGTACACTAAAATCTGTTCTCCTCTAGGGCGCCTGGGTGGCTTATTTGGTTAAGCATCTGACCCTTGATTTTGGCTCAGGTCATGATCTCAGGGTCATGAGATTGAGCCCCATGTTGGGTTGCATGCTCAGTGGGGAATCTGCTGGAGATTCTCTCTCTCCCTCTGCCCCTCCCCCCACTTGCATGTACTTTCTCGCTCTCTCTCAAATAAATAAAATCTTAAAAAAAAAACAAAAAAACAACTAGGGCGCCTGGGTGGCTCAGTTGGTTAAGCAACTGCCTTCAGCTCAGGTCATGATCACAGAGTCCCAGTACTGAGTCCCACATTGGGCTCCCTGCTCAGCAGGGAATCTGCTTCTCCCTCTGACCCTACCCCCTCTTGTGCTCTCTCTCTCTCTCACTCTCTCTCTCAAATAAATAAAATAAAATCTTTAAAAAAAAAATCTATTCTCCTCCTCTTGGGAAGTTGGTTAGATCCAGTTTCTGAGGTCCCAGTGGCTAGGCAGAGTCACATGGTATTCACTAATGGAATAGAAGGATCTATCCCACTACTGGGTTTAGGTTTTCAGACCATGGGGTGCCCCTTCGCATTCTTTTCCTTCCCACTGGCCACTAGGTAGACATGGCAGCAATCCAGGTTCAATCACGTAGACATCCCTAGGGCATGATGGGAGCCATGACCTGGAAGGGGACCTGGGGCCCTAAATGACCAAGTGGTTCCATGTCATATGACCTGGATCACTCATCTCAGACCTTCACACAAGGCAAAAATCAACTTTGTTATTTGAAGCAATGTATTCTTCAGTCTCTTTGTTATAAAAGGCTAGCCTTACTCTGACTAGCACAGAAATGATTATATTTGTCCTGATGAATTTTTCTTCAGGAAAAACTCATGTTATTGCAGCCTCATTGGAAATCTGTTTTCCTACTAAAAATTGAAAGAATTAAAGGGGCTACTATCTTAAGGCTTCAAACTATTCACTTGCAGAGTTCGTATTTACATTTTTGTATGCATTGTTTACATCTCTCTGTGCCACAAAGTTTGACACAGAACCCTGAGACTAATCTACACACCCATGAGAAAATTTATTGTGTTTTAGCTATAATCGGAGCAATTACTGAGTCTTGCACAGAACATTAAAACAGAGAAGAGATATAATACCAGTGATATTGTTATCAGAAAACACAATTCAAAAACGCTTACATGGCTGGAAACTGGAAAGAGTTCATACCACAGATTTTTACAATTTATGCAACCGAATTTACTTTATATTATTAATGAAATAAAATTCTAAAAAGATCAGCTCAATATACTTTTCTTGGTCTTTGGCTTTCTGGACCTCTGCGCACTACCTGAGGTGATTAATTGCCCCTCATCCTTTCTTAAAACTTTCTCCTTTCTTAGCCCTCCTAACACCGCCTCTGGTTTGCAAAGTCACGGTCTCCTCCTGGGATCCTCCTTTCTCTCCCTGCTACGTTCTAGGTTGGTGTTTGCCAGGACTCTGTTTTTAGCCTTCCCTCGCTCCATAGGCTCTGTGATACCAGTCACACCCACGGCATCAGCTGCCATCGGCACGTGAACTCTCAAATGAACCTCCAACTCCCAGCAGGACAATGTGCCAGAGCCCCACACTACACGCCTATACTACCTTCTAGAAATTATCACTGGAATGTCTGATGACAGCTCACGCTTAGCACCGAGACCTGTCCTCAAAACTTCTTTCCCCTTCCTCCCTTCTTCTGCGCTTTCTATTCCGGGCAGGGGAACCACCACCAGCCAGACACCCAATCAGAAATCAGGGCAAAATCCTCTCTGTCTCTGTCTCACCCCCATCCTACCTGTCAGCAGGTCCTAAAAACCCTAAAAACCTTGTGACCTCTCAGATCCAAGCCTTCTCTCCAAATCCACTGCCACTCCCTGAGTTTTGGCTCTATCATTTATTCATTCAACAAATATTTAACCGTGCTGCTCCCACGGGCCAGGTACCGTCTTAGACACTTGGGGTACAGCAGCGATGAACACTGCCCTCAGGGAGCTTACATTCTAGCCTGGGGAAACAGACAACATACAATGAACACTAGAAAGTGTGTGTGAGTGTGTGTGCACACGTGCGTGAGCACGCACATGTGCGTATGTGTGCATGTTTGCACATTAGAAGGTAACATGCCATGAAACATGGACTGGTTTCTAAAGAAGGGCAGGGAAAGGGGGACCTGGGAGACTCGGGTGGATGAAGTGCATGGTAATTTTAAGCGAAGCATTCTGAGCAGTCTTACTGAGAAGGTGACATTTAAGCAAAGGCTTGAAGGAGGTGGGAAAGCCCGTGGGCCATAAAGCTGCTGGGGAAAAGCTGTCTGCAGAGAGGACACAGTAGGAAGGAGAGCTAAGGGCAGTGTGGCTGAGGCGGAGTAAGTGAGGGAGAGGAGAGCAGAGCCCCAGGGGAGGGCAAGGGCAGCACATGGGGAGGAGGGAGAGCACTGGAGGCCTTGTAGGTCAAGGACTTGGGCTGGGAGTCTGCAGGAAATCTTTCTTCTGGATCACTATCCCCACAGGAACGTAAACATCACCTCCAGCCTCTAATCCATCCCCCCGCATCATGGCAGCCAGAGATCTTCATAATTTCATCCCTCCACTTCCCAGCTCCTTCGCCACCTCCATGCCTGGCGTCCACACTCCTTAGCTGGGCATTCGAAGCATCCGATGACCTAGTCCCTCCCTGCCTCTACACTCATGCTCCAGCCTGTGGTTGAGCTGTCCACCTCCTCCCACCTTTGCACAGGTAGGTTTCACCGCCCCAGGTGCCATTTATCATCAGCGGCCACCTGACATGTTCCTGCACACCCTTTAGGTCCCTCTGCCCCGGTGGCCTTCCCTGCCCTGCCATCCCACCTCTTCCTCTGCCCCAGGCTGAGTCAGGCTGCCCTCTCGTGGTGCATGCCCCCAAATATGGTTCCCAAACTACTTGCACTTCTACTTTTTCTAATTTCTTCCACTTCTTCTCTAATGCTGCTGCCAACGCCATCAGTGCTGACCACCTGATCTGTCTCTCAGAGGGGAGTGGGCCCCCTGGGGGCAGGAACAGCCTTTCTTCTACAAATCTTTAGAAGCCGGCTCTCCCCTTTCCTCCTCCCATCCAGCTACATACTGATCTTACTGTTCTCATACCTGCGCAGATCTTCCGGCCCCAGGACCTTTGAACTTGCTGTTCCCTCTATCTGGAACACTTTTCCCCCAGATCTGCACAGGGCAGACTCCTTCATTTTATTTAGGGGCCTGCCCACATGCCACCTCCTGGTATGTGGGCCAGTCACATGTCACAATACCTGACACATAACAGGTGTTTAAAAATAAAATGTATTGAGGGGCGCCTGGGTGGCTCAGTCGTTAAGCGTCTGCCTTTGGCTCAGGTCATGGTCCCAGCGTCCTGGGATCGAGCCCCACATCGGGCTCTCTGCTCCGCGGGAAGCCTGCTTCTCCCTCTCCCATTCCCCCTGCTTGTGTTCCCTCTCTCGCTGTGTCTCTCTCTGTCAAATAAATAAATAAAATCTTAAAAAAAAAAAAATAATAAAATAAATAAATAAATAAATAAATAAATAAAATGTATTGAATAAATACTAATTGAAGCAAATACGCTTTTCTTCCTTGGATGTAGAAAAGAGTATCTGATTCATATTCATGAATGCAAAAAAAAAAAAGCATTCAATAAACATTGCGTATCTATGGCTAATAACCTTATTGCTGGCTGAACACTGTCCCAGGAGAGTGAAAATCGCACCTCTGTCATGAGGCACAGGACATTCATGAAGAGGCAGCTTCCACTACAAAGACTTGGGAGAGCCACGACCGTGTCCCGTGAAGGGAAACACTGGGGCCACCAACATGCACGGACATCAGCTCCTACATTCCCTGCCTGCTGGCCCAGATCTGCCCTCTCACTAGACTAGAGGAGCGGGCACATTCTAGGACCCACTGCCTTTAAGGGGCCATAAAAATTAATGATTCCTGAAGCTGAGCCAGTACCTGGGAAGGCAGCAGGCACAGCTGGTGACCCAGACCCCACAGTCCCAGGGGACTCAGAAGCCCAAAGTGGGGCCATGTCGCTGGGAGTCCTGCTCACTCTAAGTGTGCATTTATAATGACAAGTCAACTCCATGTTTTTAAAGATGGATTAAATGACAGTAATTAATTAAACATGCATACTCCTCCCTCTTTCCACCAAGGACTTCAAGCAGCTCCTAAAGATACAGAATGTGCAATAAAATAGAAGTAGGTCAAAAGATCAAGGCCAGAGAAAATGAGGGCAGAGATAGCCAGAGCAGCTGGTCCCCCCCTAGGAACTGCGCCTCTCAAATGGGAGCTCCAGAAATGGCCCTGTCAGGGGATCCTGCTGTGGCTGTGACGGAATGAGGGGCCCTGGGACCTGGCCTGGCCTCATGACCATGACCTCGCAGAGTAGGAAGGAGGCCGGGCCCAGCAAGCCTGCAGGCCACTGCAGTAAATGAAACACCATCGCGGGTCCACCTCTCAGTATGACCAGCTCAGTGCTTCAGTCCATCCCCTTAGTTAGACTTCACAAGTCTGTGATCAGGGATGGACTACTGTCCCCACATTCCAGGACAGAGCGCTGAGGCTCACAAAGGTGAAGAGTTTTGCCCTCTGTCAAAAAGGTTACAAAGTCCTCAGAGGATTCCATGGCAGAGGATGTAATCTATCATGAGGCGCTGGATGGGCAATTATGACTCATGATTCTAAGGTCCTGAATTCACTCTGCAACCAACTAGTCCAACAACTATTTTATGCCAGGCTCAGGCTGGGCACCAGTGATAAAGGAGCAAGACCCAATGCCCTTGAGGAGCCAGCCAGTGGCGTGAGAAGGGCAGAGACCATCATGCTGGAAGACACGCTGCAAAGCATGAAGGTGCACAGGGGAGGCCCTACATGCTGGCGGGCAGCTGTGCCCAATGGGCACCTTCTGTAGGAGCAGCTAGGGTAACCTCCAGAGCCTCGAGGTGCTCAGGGACCCGACTGGTCTAGAGACAGACCCCTGGTCTGAGCCAAGCCACTGAAATTCTCACATCTGGGAGCAGAAGCCACGAGTCACCAGGGCTAAAGCATGGTATTGTCCACGGAGTCCTGGAGGCTGCCCCGAGTCTGGCCAACTGAGAGGCCTGTTGGCCTATCCATTCCTGGGCAGTTCAAAGGGCAGATACCCACAGTCTATGCTGGTGGTGCAAGGCCACTTCTCTGAGCTGCCCTGCCTGCACCCTCTCCATGTCCTCCTGCCATCCCAGACACTCCAGACCATCCCCCGATCCAGACACCACACGGTTAATACCCAGCCCGGCAAGTGGCCTCCAGCCCTGCCCCAATCCTAAGGCCAGTTCAGGACTGGTCGTTACTCTATTCTGAGGCCCTTCCCGTAAGCCCCCTTTTCAGTGGCAGTACTCGGTACAAGCAGAGAAGCCATGCTCACACAGCAGCAGGGGTTGCCCAGACGAGGCAGCATCTCAGGGGAGCCTGTGAGGAGCTGTAGGAGTGGGTCACGCGGGGATGGGGCGAGCAAGCTAAACAGCAGGGGCAAAGGCCTGATGGGCTAGGGGGCCGGCGAGAGGGGGCAGAGCAGGGGTAGAAGGTCCCAGCAGGAAGGCTGGCACAGGCTAGAGACCAGAGGAAGAAAGCCAGTGTCTGCATGGCCCTCGACCCAGGGGCTCTTCCAACCCATGGGACGGACACTGCGACATGCACCCAGGCTTGTTAACATAGAAGGGACATAAGTACCCAGGCTGCGAGCTCCATGACCTCTAGTAGGGAAGGAGAGAGTGCATGAAAGCCTACAGCCAGGCACTATTTCAGGATGTGTTTATATCTAAGGGTTCACTTTCTCTTCTCCATATAATCCTGGACGGTGAGAAGCCTGGAGACGCAGAGTCACCCTGAATCCCCCTCCCTGTGGTTCACACCACCATCCACTAGAAGGAACAGGCCTGGCTGCAGGGAGGCAACCCATGGTTCCCCCAGACCAGCCCTGCCCGGGGCAGGCTGGCATCCAGAAGCATTCCATCCGCATGACGTCTTCCTCACTGAGCACTTCCCTCCGTCTCCTCCGCTCATTCGGTCAACACTGCGAGGGATGTTATGCGCCCCCTGACACGGCGCTGAGGCCCGGCCCGTCGTTTCAGCGCTAACCCGGCCTCTCATTTTAGAGCCGTATGCAATCTGTTGGATTATTTTTCATCCAAAGGGCATTCAACCAGGAACATGCTATCCCTAATCCCGTGAAAAATGAAAAGGTGGAAGTCAGGTCTCACATGTATATGGCTCTGCAGCTGGGGGTGCACGTTCTCCTCTATCGTGCGTCACTTCCTCCTGACCCAACGGTCAGCAGCAGCATCCCCACTGCACAGATGGGAGGGGGAGGCTCAGAGACTAAGGGACTTTCCTGCTGCCTCAAACAGCACAGCTGCCCCAGGGTCTGAGGACATCTGGCCCTGCGCTCACTGCACTGTGTCCCAGCTCTTTTTCAAACTGCAGAACATGGGAGGGGAGAGTGGGCCTCACACTGGCCTGAACCCAAATCTCAGTTCATCTGCTGTGTGGCCTTACACAGCTGTCCTTGCCTCTCTGGGCCTGCTCCTTCTCCACTGGGAAATGGCAATTAACACACAGGATTGTTTTTGAGGATCAGGCTCTTGGCAAACAGGACGTGCTCAACAAACGTAGCTTATTCCCCTTTTCTGCCATTCTCCAGCCAGCATTTTGATCGGGACAGAGAACAGATTCTTGAAAATGACTAGCAGGAAAAGTGCAATTTACCTGTTAGCCACCAGAGTGCAGTCAATTTCTGGTCGCTTCGTTTTGGGAATGACATACAGTGGGTACCTGTCCCCGTGTCGAATGAACACATGCACTGAGACCAGCTTAAAATGATGCGGGGCGTGACCTGTGGGAGAGGAGCAGATCGCCTGGTTAGCACTCAGGAGGTGTGGATCCTGTCCACTTTGCACAGGTGGAGGGATGAGCATGGCAGGAGGGTGCCGGTGTAGGGGGTGGTGCTCACAAGGCGGGTGGAGGAACGGAGACAGGGCTGGTTATGTCTCAGACCCCCCAGAAGCAACAGGCTCTGGGGGTGTGGGCTGGGGGCTGGAGGCCAGTGAAATGGGGGCACGATGATTCAGGTGGCCTCACTCACATCCACAGCCTAGAGGGAGGCCTACAGAAGTGCTAGAAACAATGACTTCTGCTTTGAAGCTCCATGAAACAGGGGCTCCCAGCCGTTAGAGCACGCGACTCTTAATCTCAGGGTTGTGAGTTCAAGCCCCACTTGGGTGTGGAGCCTACTTAAAAAAATAAATAAAATAAATAAAGCTCCATGAAACAAATCAGGGCACAAATTGATAAAAATATTCAATATCATTGATTGATACACTTTCAAAAAAGCAAACTCAACATAGAAATCCTATTTTCCTACACTTTTACCGCAAGATACCAACAGAGCGTCCCGCATCCTGTGGATGTCCTAAGCCCCGAGAGAGTTTACTGGAAAGGGGGGGTAGATGGGGGTGACACCCTAGAGTCCGTCAAGCCTACCTTTCCATCTCTGGTATCTCACCGAAAACCGTGATGGAGAATATGTACAGAGGGCTTCTCGTGAGCTGTCCAGAGCAGTTACGGAAGCCTCCGGGCAGCCCTGTGAGTAGGGACTGCTAGTGACGCCCATTTCACGATGAGGAAGCTAAGACTTGGGAACTCATTCAGGGGCACGGCCTAGTGGCGGCTGCAGGATTTGAGCCCAGGCTGTCTGGCTCCTTCCTACCATGCTGTGCCACTTGAAGAACAACTAGTCCCCAGAGGGGTGCGGGTCCAGGTGCCACGCTGGGCAGCGCAGGCAGGCCTACCTTCCATGCTGCGCTCAGCCACGCTGGGAATGTTGCAGTACAAGAGAGCTTCGTAAATGGGGTCCGTCACGGGGGGCTCTGTCACTGGCTCAGGCATGACTCTCTTTCGACTCTTGCTACTCACTCCGTTCTTAGCTGTGGACACGGGGGTCAGGTGGACTGCAAGGGAAGCAAAGCAGGCCATGACATGTGCAGTCACAGGAGGCACCAGGCCAGCCGCAGGGGCCCAGAGCGCGGCTGGACTTGCACCAAGTAACTCTTCTCTCCCTCGGCACTAGGGTGGGCTTCAGTCCAGCAAGCGGTCAGCTTCTCAACAAGAACTTTCTTGAGCCCTCAGTGTGCCCTGCCTCTTTCTCAATGCCGTTACCTTCTCCTGACCAATAATTAGTTGTGCAAAAGGCAGGTGGGCCACCCCGGAGAAAGGGGCCTCGCTCCGGTGGTAAAGGAAGAACTTCGGGCAGCCTGGTTACCTCATTCCTAACGCCCTTTGAATTCTGGTAAATACCAGAGAGGAAACCCATCACCTTTTGAGTGCCTACGAAGTGCTAGATGTGCTGACAGATCTCATTTGATATCATCTGCTTTGCACTCTGGGGTCCCCAAGAGCCCAATGGCAGGCGTCACTCATTAAGCTTCCCAAGACCACTTTACAGAGGAGAGAGCCTAGTGCCAAGAGGGAGACGGAGGCAGCCACCCAAGGCGGATGTGGTGGATGGAGCCCCATGTCGAGCTCATTCCTCTGCCTCCTGGCCAGGTTCTCCCCACCAGTCTTCTGGATGTCATGCATTCGTCCTGCAGTCTGTCTGTCCATCTAGCACCCCCTTTCTGTGGGTGAACTGCTCCTTCCCAGTGTCCCTGCCCCAGGCTAGGGGGTGGGGGGACATGTGACTGAGTCAATGAGGATAGTGATGGGGCAACTCATCTCCTTTTCCTTGACAGAGGTGCTGTGCACACACTAGCAAAGGGTCTCTCGTATGCTGATCTCTAGGAATGGAAACCCGGGGCTGCTCCAGCTACCTGTCCCTCCTCGGACAATCTCTGTCTGCAGGGGGAGAAAATGATGCTGAATAGAGACAAGGCAGACCAACACATGCAGAGACCTAATCAGAGAGACAGAGAGAGAGAGAGAAAGACCTGAGGACATCATTCTTGGAGACCCTGGGTTCAGATGTGGCTGAAGCCAGAACCTCTCTTAGATGTCCCAGTAATATACATCATACATAAGCCTTCTTGCTTAAGCTAGTTTGAGTTGGGCTTTAGTTACTTTCAACCAAATGAGTCCTGACTAATAGACTTTATGAATTACTTATAAGCAGATGTAAGTCCATCTTCTGGGTCAATGGTCCCCAACTTTTCCATGTATGCGGGACCTCTTTGCAGCATCACAGATTTTCTGGAACTCTCTACACAATGATAGTTGTACTTTTAGCATCCACCAACTGAGGAAATGCACAGAAATAGCTGTGCCCAAGTATCATTTACTTTCTAAAAGGTTTATTAATCACCAGAATATATATACATACATTTGAACAATAGCTAAAACAGGGCCCAACCACCAGCCTAAATCCATTTAAATTCCCTAATTCCTTCTACAGATTTTTCTAAATAAATACTTAAGACTTCCCTTTGGCAAACAGATGTTATAAATAAAGGTAAAAGACAAACAATCCACTGAAAGGAAAATATTTGCAACGTACGTAACAAATTATTATTTTTTTTTTTTTTTAAAGATTTTTTATTTTATTTATTTGAGAGAGAGAGAACACATGAGAGGGGATAGGGTCAGAGGATGAAGAAGACTCCCTGCCGAGGAGGGAGCCCGATGCGGGACTCGATCCAGGGACTCCAGGATCATGACCTGAGCCGAAGGCAGTCGCTTAACCAACTGAGCCACCCAGGCGCCCCCGTACGTAACAAATTATTAATGTCCAAAATGCATATGAGCTCCTACAGCTAAAAAATCAGTAAGGGATATGTGCAGGCCAAGTACAGAAAAACAAATACCAACCAAACAGCATCTTTTCATATGTTCAATGTTATTCATACTTAAATGCAAAATAAAACAACAGCCTCTGATCCCGCCTATCAGACTAGAATATCCTGTTTTTATAATAATACCAGTGCTGGCAAGGGTGTAAAAACTCACTTCCACACCGCAGGTGAGAGTGAAAATAGAAACCTTTTGGAAGGATTTGGCAGTATCTGCTAAATGTTATATGTGCCTTATCCCTGATCCCTTGACTCTACGTCTTGGAATCTACTCGTCAGACATCAATTCCAGTCATAAAGATGTATGGCCAAGGAGATTTGTTGCAGTGCTGTTTGTAATAACAAAAAAGGGAAATCGACTAGGTATCCATCATTAACAGAACAGAACGTTACACCCATATTGGGGAATATTCTGCTACGGTTAAAAAGACTGGAAAAGAATCAAAGATAAATGAAGTGAGGTGAATAAATCAGGCTACTGGATAAGAAAAAACAAACTATAAATGTATGAATATACAGGCATTTGTTTATTAAGTAAATGCGTAGATGTCTATAAGGACACCCATTATAATGCAGCAGTGGTTTCCTCTGGGGAATGGATGGAATAGGGGGTGAAGAAGTGTTTTTACTTGTTTTTCTATAAATGTCTATATTGTTTTACAGTCTACACACATCTATATTTACAGTAAGCATGTGTTACATACTTCCTCTATGTACGAACATGTATGTATCTTTCTATAATGTCTACTCATATTCTTTTATTAGCAGATTTTCATTCATTACTTGTATTACTTGTATTACAACAACCATCACAGAGCTATAGAATTGGTCCTTCACCAATTCAAAATTAGTCCTTTGGTTGGCCCTATATTCACTTTCTTCCCAGCAGCTGGAAACGGCCAAATCTGGTAACATACAAGCTCAGGAGTCTAGAGGTAATTTACCATTGGGGGATTGGTGCCAGAGTAAGGGAAGGAGAAAAGTGTATGTCTGAAGGCAGCATCTTAATGACCCAGCAATTCTGGCTGTGTGGCAACACTGAGTCCTTAACTCTGCTCTCTTTTGAAATGGTGCCAGATTCTGGTCCCTTGGCCATGCCTGTGAAGCATGCCTCCCCGCCTAGCCCTGGGCTGCTCATCTCCCCAGCGGACGGTAGTCACCTCTTGGGACTTGTCATTTCCAGGGCCGCTAAGGTCTGTCCTCATTCACCCCTGCTGCCATGGCTGTCCACGGTTCTGAATGCAGGGAGGTGATATGGGGCTGCGGACTACTGAGTCACAAATGTGGGTTCGAGTCCTGACCTTGTTATTTCCCGGCTGCATGACCTTGGGCAAATCCTCCTGCCTCACTATGCCTCATTCCCTTCCCCTACCAGAGTGGTGGCGTGGATGGCCTGAGACGTCCCCTGTGGAGCACCGCACGGGGCCTGCCGTGTGGTAAGGGATAAAGAAGTGCTATTTGCTTGTCAGTCCCCTTGAGAGGATTATTCTGGCTACTTCCAGGCTCTTAGAAGGTGGTCCCTTCAACTGGGGATCTGGAAGGGATGCTGACCCTCTGTGTCCACACCTTTCACAGAAGCACAATGAACCAGTCTCCCTTACCCTCTCAACCACCCAATTTTAGCAGCTTTTCTGACTCCTTTAAATACATCCAGCTGATCCAAGATGGCACCTTCTTTTTTTTTTTTTTAAAGTAAGCTCCACACCCAGTGTGGGGCTTGAACTCACGACCCTGAGATCAAGAGTCACTTGCTCTACTGACTGAGCCAGCCAGATGCCCCCAAGATGTCACCTTCTTATAAACTAAAATACCCCTAGTTCTAGTATCTCCCAATAATCCAAAGGCTCTCGAGTTCTGTCTCCTGCGCTGGCCTGCCAAAGAATAATGATTTGCTCTACTGGCAGTTCCCACAATTCCCTCAGTGCTCCTCAATCCACCGAGTTGTCTTAAAGGTCCGTTGTGCCTCTACCCTGCACTGAATATAAAAATGTCTGTGTGTAATTCTCAAATATAAGCCAGAACCACAACTGGAGACCCATTCTGTTATTTGCCTTTGGCCATTTGCTTTTACAGGCAGGAGTAGAAATCATGCTTAGGGATGCAAGGTGGAAATCAAGTCCACATTTGCATACTTTGAGAAACTTGGTTTTACATGGACAAGATTTTTTTTTTTTTTTAAGATTTTATTTATTTATTTGACACACTGAGAGAGAGTGAGCACAAGCAGGGGGAGCAGCAGGCAGAGGGAGAGGGAGAAGCAGGCTCCCCGCCAAGTGGGGAGCCTAATGAGGGCCTCGATCCCAGGACCCTGGGATCATGACCTGAGCTGAAGGCAGATGCTTAACTGACTGAGCCACCCAGGCGCCCCTACGTGGACAAGATTGATCAAGCAGCTGAATCTATCCTTTCTGACCTATCTACTTTGGGCCACAGTACAATACCAACTTTTCCTGTTCTCCTTATTCTTAACTATTCTTCATCCCTCATTCTTGTTGCCTCATGGTGAACCACTGTTCGGTAAGAATCTAGTAAGTGCTTTTGGTGCCAGTGATAAATAAGCCTGGTCCCATTTAGGGAGCCAGCAAACCACAGAAGGTATGGCTCTCGGGGTTGGGACTCAGCAGGCTAGAGGTTTTGCCCTAGGCTGTTCCCAAGCTCTTATCTCTTCCTTGCCTGACCCTCCCTCTGACGTCAGCCACTGAGCCCTAAGTCCACTGACTGCCAGAGCACAGGGACAGGGTTCCCACGGTGGCCTGAGCTTGAGCCCAGCTGTGGCCTCCCAGTGGGGACAGGAAATCTCACTGTTCTCTGGGGCAACTGATAACCGGTCTGGCCCAAACAGGGTCCTTTGGGTTAGATGACAGAAGCACCACCGACTCCAAATCATGACAGAGGGCGCCTGGGTGGCTCAGTCGTTAAGCGTCTGCCTTCGGCTCAGGTCATGATCCCAGGGTCCTGGGATCGAGTCCCACATCGGGCTCCCTGTTCAGTGGGAGGCCTGCTTCTCCCTCTCCCACTCCCCCTGCTTGTGTTCCTGCTCTCGCTATCTCTCTCTCTGTCAAAAAAAAAAAAAAAAAAAAAAAAAAAAAAAAAAAAAAAAAAAAAAAATCATGACAGAAACTAGAAATCAGAAAGCCATCCAAGGACAGGCCCCCAGAAAGAACTGTGAAAAGAACCTCAGTCATTCTTAACTATCTCATAGCCTGAATCCCCCTGCCTCCGCTTTGAGAATCGGATAAAAGTTACTGCTCCTCAACCCTGCAAAAGGACTACATACACAAGCTTCTGAATTTGCCTTCTGAGGGTTCACAGGAAACTCCGAAACCACACGAGACGATGCTGACATCTGTGGACTCAGGCTAACAACCCAATGTGCCTGGAAATAGTTTTCTGATTTCAACACCCTTGATAGATTTTTCTTTTTTCAAAATGAAAAGGGAGCTTTACAACTCACATAAACATTTGTTCATCCTAAAATAGCTGTTCAACACTAAGGTATAAAAAGAAGTGAAAATCACCCATAATCTTATCACCCAGAACAACCCACAGTCTACATTTTAGTGCATATGTGTGGCTGGATGTCCTGCCAGAGGTTATATCTATGCTTCCGTCCCTGCTGAGGAGGGTCACTGAGGCCCAAGGACATTGTTTCCCCTCCTCTCAAGAGGAACAAGTAAGGGGCGCCTGGGTGGCTCAGTCACTTAAGCCTCTACCTTCGGCTCAGGTCATGATCCCAGGGTCCTGCGATCGAGTCCCGCATCGGGCTCCCTGCTCTGCGGGAAGCCTGCTTCTTCCTCTGCCTGCCGCTCCCCCTGCTTGTGCCCTCCCTCTCTCTCTCTTTCTGACAAATAACTAACTAACTAACCAACCAACTAACTAACTAACTAACAAGTAAGTTTTCAGTGTCTCAAAGGCCTACCTTTTGAGAGCACTAAACCCCACTGAGGCCACCAAACCAACTGCCCAGGAAGGCAGCTGGTCATCTGCCTTCTGTGGAAAGGGTCACAAGGAAGAGATGGCCAGGGGTGGGGGCGGGCTTCAGGGAAGCCCCCTCACTGAGAGACAGTGCTGAGGGAGGGGCCTGCACCCTCAGGTACCTGGACTGACCAGCCAGCCCACCCTCTGCCGGATACCTGGGGCTGGGGAGAGGCAGAGCTCTGGCTGGGTTCCAGGTTCCCCAAGAGACACACCCCCGGGCAGAGGGGTCCAGCCCCTTCGATGACACAGGAAATCAAGGGAGGGGCATGAGGTGATGCTGCAGCCCAAGCCACACAGGTCAGAGACGGGCCATGCATCATGGTCGACTCCCTGTGCCTCGCACCCAGAGGGGCAGCCTGGCTCTGCTGGGCGTGTGAGGCGCTGGGTGCCGACATCGAGACAGTCGCACAGCTCTCTCTGGGTGCAGCCTGACTTCATCCTCATATTCCAGATTCAGATTCTGCCCTCAAGACCTCATTCCTGGTCGTTTCCCCCGAACCACCCGGCCACCCTTCCCTCGGGGCCGAGCCGCTATCAAGATCACGGGGCTCCACCGCCGATTACCACTGACCTCAAGTCAAGGTGGATTTTCTCGTTTTTTTTGGTTTTTTTAAATGTCATCCAGCTTGGAGCAGGTGCCCTGATGCCAAGACAACAGGGACTGGGGCCCAAGTTCATCGGTGCAGTTGGCGCAAACTCCTTCCCACTGTGTCCTCAGCTCCCCTCCATCCCACAGTTACTCCAATGCAAACATCCCCCAGCTTTCTCTATTTTGTCCCTCTCCCCACACAGTCTTGGCATAGGGAGGTACCCTCCCTGAGTTTACTGGCTACTTTTACTAACATTCTCTTGTTTTACTAACTAGCCCTGATAGTCTCTTCTCTAAAACGGGAGATCACCTTCTTGCCAATACTGTTGAGTTGACACACACACACGTATTCCCATATAAAACACCGTATGTACTTTCGGTTACTATATTATGGACAACCTTGCACGTGAATACAGACAGATCTGTGTAATCACAGCATAATGGCTGCAAGAGTATTTACTGTTGGACTCTTCGGCTGCCTTCCCCGCCTTTGCCTCCTGTAAGCAATGCTGCAATAAACATCTTTAAATATACATTTCTATTCTCTTATCTAATTATTCTTAGTAGAAATTCTCTAAGATCAGAAACTGGGAAGGAAGGAAAGAAGGAGGGAGGGAGAGAGAGAGGAAGGGGAAAGAGAGAGAGGAGAGAAACAATGTCCTCCCCACCCCCAGAAGAATACTAGAAATGACCCCCACACATAAATGTGTCATTTTTAGCTCATGGAAGGGCATGTCCCCCTGTTATGTAACTACAACATTAACTTAGCACGTATGATGAAAGCTGATTTGTCACACTTAATTTTGACACCTACAGAATTTTTTCACCCACAGATATTTATTTAACTCTATGGGGTAGTTGGACAGGAAGCATTCAGAGAAAAAGCAAAATTAAAACTCTCAGAAATCAAACAGAAAATAAACCTCCAAGAAAAGAATTGAAATAAAAAAATACTAAATGTAAAACCTAAGTGATAATGATGAACTTCTTAGGTTAAAAATGCAAGCCCTCATATTTAGTTCCTCATTTTTTCTGACTCCAATTCACCAAAATAAAATCCCAGGAGGAATCTTACTGTGGCTTTTAAAATAGAGTACATAGGGGCGTCTGGGTGGCTCAGTTGGTTGGGCATCTGACTCTTGATTTTGGCTCAGGTCATGATCTCAGGGTCCTGAGATGGGGCCCCCCTCATTGTGTTGGGCTCTGCACTCAGCAGGGAGTCTGCTTGAGATTCTCTCTCCCTCTGCCCCTTCCCCTGCTTGTGCACTGTTTCTCTCTCTAAAAGAAATAAATCTTTTCAAAAAAATAAATAAATAAAATAGAGTACATAGTACATAAGACCCTTGGCATTCTAAGGGTTGCAGCCCCAAACCTTTGCCATGAAAACATTAAAATCTTCATGAATCCCCAGTTCACACACACCCCTGGGGCACATGCTTTTCTCCATAAAACAGACACAGGATGAAGAGCAGGAGTGAGGCCTGCTCAGCAGCCAGGAGCTCACTCCCAGCTATCATTATTCAAATCCGTGCCTCAGCAAAATCCCTGCCACCATCCACCATGGAGCTCAGGGTGCCTGCGAAGAGTGGGAGCCGTGAATGCCAACAGCCGACTACGAAGAGCAGGCTGAAGCCAGGGTCTGAACAACCAAGGCGAATGTGACAAAACCCAGGCACCTTACAGGGGCTCCTCACTCTCCTTCTCAGAGGCAATTTTCTTTTAATTTACACACTGCTCTAGCAAAGCTTGGTTATTCTCCTTCCCAGAGGGCAATGGATCCTCTGGGGAAAGGTGAGGGGTGTGGGGGTTGGAGGCTGCGGGAAAATGATGGCTCTGTGGGAAGAGAGGTACCAGAGAAACCACTGAAGACTCACACATACTGTTCACACACACCGCTCACACACACTCACACACCACATACACACCACTCACACGCACCACACACACCACATACACACATCATATGCATACGCTACCACTCACAGACACCACACAAACACACCACACACACACACTGCCACTCACACACACTACTCACACACCACATATATACAACTCACACACACTAAGCTGGTTCAGCTGGGGTGCCCACTGAACACACACAGAGCTGATTAAGCGGAGGCTCCTCAGCTGCCTACCTGCTTCCCTCGGCTTTGGGGCCCCACCTCTCGGCTGCCATTCTGTCACCTTCATGGCCTCCCTTCCTCTGTCTGCCCAGATCTCATCTTTGCCCTGTCCTCTCTTCCTCCTACCTGTACCACAGGGCGCAAACTCCCAAGATGCCAGGGTTCTGCAAGTGGAGACCATGGAGAAAGGAAGAGCTTGCACTCCCCACAACGGGGGTGGCCAGAACCCAGCTGTGGGCTCCAGCCACTGTCCCTGCAAGAGACCACGGGTCTCGGCTTGCTGGACAGTTTTTTTTTTTTTTTTTTTAAAGAGGGGCTAGAAGTTTATGTGAAATTGCCTAAATTCTAAAACATTGGTAAATAAATGTAAAAATGTGGAAACACTGGTTGAGCCGAAGAAAACTGTCAGTCTGGAGTGGCTTCCGCATGCTCCTGGTCTCCCCAGGTCAGGGCTTCAGGAACAGTGAACACAAAGTCCCCCAGCAGGGTCTCTCTAAGGCTCAGATCCTGAAACCACTTTCCGACAAGACATGGTACCCAGCTGGCCCTCAGGTACCTCATCAACACCTCCAACTCCTCGTCCTGCTCCACACCCAGCTTGTCCACTTGCCTGGGCCTTATCTAGACCCGGGGAGCCATCAGCCCCACATGGTTCCCTCCCAGTCCGGACACATTCTGGGCATTTTCTTTAGATTCGGCATATTTAACCCAGGTGGAGATGAGACGTTCATGTGAATGAACACACAAATGCCTGACTGAATGAGGCATCTACTGAACTACCTGAGCCAGACTCCTGTGTGTCATCGTGGCGTCTTCCCCTTCTCCCCTCACCCTGGCCCACTCTACCACCCAATTAGCTTGACGTCCCACAGCCTCGCCTGCCGCTTTGGCTTTGCTTCTTCTTCCAGGGCCAATACCTTCAAGGTGCCCCCTCAGTCTTTCATGGAGGCAAAACCGCCTGAGTTGCCCACCAGGCTTCACCCTCCCATCAGCCCCCGAACAGGGAGTGCCCAGGATTTGTGCTTATTAGACTCACCCAGGGAGCTTGTCAAAAGTGCAGATTTCTGGGTCCCACGCCTGCCAAAATTCTGATTCTGTAGGGAGGGGCACAAAATGTGCTCATTTTCGGTTGTGGAACATGCATTCTTTACAAGTCTCCAGAGCCACTCTGCTCAAGGTGCTCAGGAGACCACACCTGGGCAAACACTATCCTGGACTGTGGTCCTTCCAAGCCCTCAATCTCCTGGTGTGTTCCCTACTTCCAGTGGCTGGCTCCCCACAGCCTTCAGGATATAATGTAGGGATGGAGGTGGCCCCAGTGTTTGTCCAACTTAATAGCCACACATAGGTGACTAACTGGGTCCTACTCTCTTTCACTCTGTCTTTGCACACCCACCTCCATCTGCAGGAATGCCCCTCCCACCTTCCTCCATGGCCAACTCCTACTTACCCCTCAAGGATGAAGCTCAGATGTCACCTCTGCTGGGGAGTCTTCCTGAATTCCCAGACTGGATTAGCTTCTTGTCCTCTATCCTCCCATATCAACCTGCCATAAATGATCTCTAATTCATTTTATTTAACAAACACACATACAGTGATCACTGTGTGTCAGGCACTGTTATAGGTGTCTTAAAATATGAGCTTACTAAATCCTTTACTAACCCTGTGAAATAGGGACTATCGTTATCCCCATTCTACAGATGAGGAAACTGAGGCAGGGAGAGGGTAAATAACATGGCTGAGGTCACCTAGCTGGTAAGTGGCAGGACAGGGATTCAATCTGGGAAGTCTGGCTTTTTCTTAGAGCCGTGTGCTCCACCACTGTCCCCCCTCCCCCCGCCATCACCTTACATGTTATTTATCACCTCTTACCTGTCCTAGCACATCACACACTGTATTCCAAGTGTCTGCTCGTGATTTTCCCCCAGTAGGACACACTGCTGCTGTGGTCCTTGAGGGATTAAGCTCCCAGCCCAGGACCTAACCTAGGGTGGAAACTCAAGGAACATTTGCTGAAGGACAAAGCTGTACACACTCATGGCGCTGGGTCAACAAGAAAAGATAAAATTCCTAAAACCTCAGAGTTTGAAGAGACTTTAAATGGAATCAGGCCTGATGACCTGCCTAATATCCTCCTCTTCACAGAGCAATGCTCCAGAGTTTGCACCCCATGCATTCTACCTCTGCATGCCACTGACTTTTAGGACGCTCCACTGGAATGTGGCCCCATGGTCACCTGGGCCACACAGAACAAGTCTGACCCCTGCAGAAAGGGCTCTTGAGATACTGAAGATAACCCTGGCTTTCACTGCTGCGGGGTAACCTTCCCTCTTCCGCCTGGGGATCTGAACCTCCAGTCCATCTTCGGTATTTTCCTCAGAAGCTGCTCTGGTCAACTGGGGCGCTGCCCAGGAAAATCACCCCTAGATATACTGCCATGTGCTCAGTGTAGACTGGCCACTATCATGCCAATGAACTCTGATCAAAAACAAAAAGAAGTATGATATATTTCAGAAGCCTCCTCTCTGACAAGCAGCTGAAGGAACACAAGCCTTGGCAGCCTTTGGGACCCCGAGAGCCCTGGTTTCTGAAGATGGTACCTGGCGATGGGATTCAGTGCTGTTGCTTAAAAGGTTTACATTGGCACGTTCTGCATGGAGCACTGGGTGTTGTGCACAAACAATGAATCCTGGAACACTACATCGAAAACTGATGATGTGATGTATGGGGATTAACATAACAATAAAAAAATTAAAAAAAAAAAGGTTTACACTGACTACGCTTCCACAAGCCAAGGGGTTTCCCACAAGGTCTCTGTTCTCACACTGATGCTGCAGCTGCCACAACTCATCCCATTTTACAGAAGAAGAAACAGAGGCTCTGAGAGGTCCGTCTTGCCCAGGGCGCACGGCTGCCACGTGGCAGAGCAGCATCCAAGCCCAAGGCTGTCATTCCAGAGCCTGTGCGCTGCTGCTGTGCTGCCATTTTGGGAATGGCCGTTGGAACACGGTGAAATGCGCATAAAATAAGAATTAAGTACAGGCTGGGCTGAAGGAGGAAAAATGGACGACTACAAAAAAGAGCAGAAAAAGCAGAAATACAACTAACCAAGTCTTTACATGCTGGCGGTCTTTGCCCTGTTGCAATGAAGAAGTCCCTGAATCTGAGAAGTAATTTTTACACTGGTACACATTTTAACTAGAATAACTAAAGATAGGTATGTCTTACTTGTTCCCTTCTGCAATTTGGATATCAGGAATTTCAGAGTTTCCCTATTTCCAAACTCAAAAATATCCAGGACTTGAAAAGACAAAATGAATGATTTTCATTAAAGGCTGTTAGCCTACAGCAAGTCATTACTACCATTTAAAGTAAACATATTTTGAGAAACTATGAACTGTATCTTAACCTTTTTTATATCCTTTCCATCCACCTCCACCCGACACTGTAGAAAAATGCCTGACACACATAAGCACTTAATAAATATATCTGGGGTCACAGACCCTACTTTCTGTACCAAGAGGAAGAAATGCTTATTTAAACAACCTGATTTTTAAATTGTAACCCGGGTCGTAACTTTCTCATATTCAAAACATCAGAAAAAGCCAACAGGACAAAATAAAATACATGATCATTGCAGAAAGCAAACTATACTGGTTCACTTAAAGCCTGAGAAAAACCAAGTTATATTTGATCGCCTCACATATATTACCTAAAATAATTATATGTGCTAATCTGGTATTTATTCAAAAATTAGTCAAAAGAAATGATGAAAAAAAAGTCCACATATTTTAGGGTAAGAATGAAAACACAAATGTTAGTTAAAGGTATGCTTTTGTATTACCAAGTAGTGCAGTTCCTTACACCGTAATAACCAGCAAGCCACAACACAATTAAATAAATAAAGCAATTAAACTCCGTATCTACAGAAATGGGTAAGTTTCAAAGTTACAGTTTACCTAGAAGTAGAAGAGCAGTAAGAACATCCATATCTTAATATCTTTCCGAACTCCAACGTATCCAAGAATAAAGAGCTCCAACCCGGGCAGGCTAATTTACCCTGCAAAATTTCCCTTAAAAAAAACTATGACTGAAAATTGGCTCTCCTAAAACAGAAGGTACTTTCAGAAGAGTTATATAAGCAAAACACACTGGCCAATTCAGTGACGTGGAAACCACCTCATGCAAGAGAAACGCAGCAAACACAAGTAACCCACATTCACGTCTCAGATCCTGTCAGCTTCGTAGAATAAAAAGTCAAGGTTGATTGTAACCTCCTACCTCCCCGGCCAAAGGATGGAAAATTTTTAATGAAAAGTTATGAACAATTAAACTACTGAGAGTCCTAACACACTTTTTGGAAAGGATTTATATTTGATGGTTCATTAACCATCTGGAGTATCTTTAAACTTCCTATGCCCACCTACTCTTGACCTCGTTTCCCATTCTGTTAGGATAAAATGAGTATTTTTAATTGTCTTTAGTATTAGAAACAGCCTGTCGTGGGTACCAGACGTGTGCATGGAGTATGTCACAAATTGGAGGTGTATCAGGGGAAACTTGCTCAAAGCCTCCTCTCTTCAAACCACTTATTCCAAATGCCAAGTCTTTCCCACATTCCTCAGCGCTCTCAGAACATCTCACTTGCTGAGCCACCTGCTCTTCTTCCCATCACTCAAACTGCGACAGAAATGCCACCTCCTCACAGAGCCATCCTAGGCAGTGATGGGTGCCGACCGCGTATCTCCCATCCATCAGGGTGCGGTGGTAAGATGGAGGGAAGGCAGGTGACAGCAAAAACGCAATTCCAAGCATAGGACAGACATTCTCAGCTTTGAGTATATGGCACCAGAAGGAGAGGGAATTCGGGTCAGCCTGCTTTTCAGAGCAGGTGTAGATTCCTTCATTCGTTTAACAGTCATGAAACACCTACTGTGTGGTTGGCAGTGCAGTTCCTGGGGTATAGAGGGAAACAGGACATGGTCTCTGCTCTCAGAGAACAGTCTTGTAAGAGGAAGAGTCACAAGAACTGAACATTAGAATACCACATGGCTAGTGTGAGGAGGGGAACAGGTTTAGGGCATCCTGGAAGCACACCAAAGGAGCATCAGACCCGGTTGAGGGGGTGGGGGGAAGTCCTGGGAGGTTCCTAGTGGAGAAAAAGACGGAGTGAACCATGTGGGGAAAGGATGGGAGGGGCGTGAGGAGGATGGTGCTCCAGGCAGAGGGGCTGGCGGGATCTGGGCACAGAGAACAGGGTAAATGCGCAGAGGACGCCAAGCAGTTCGGCATGAGAGAGGCGCCACTGGAGTACAGAGAGCCTCCCGGACAGCATGGGCCACCCGTGCAGGGTTACAACCAAGGAGGTGCTGGGGACAGATCTGTGTTTGAGGATGGCCTCTCTTGGCGGGAGCAGTGGGGTATGCAGCTTTGGGGTCGAACCTGAACACAGGCGCCCAGTGAAGGACAAAGTGCTGGGCGGTGAGATCCATGGACTGGCTTCATCGGCCCTGCCCTTGCCTCACCGCACGAGATGCCCCGTGTGTGGTCTCTGCTGCCCAGGAAACTGAGTTTGGTACCTAACCCCCCTCCCCTCCCCAACAACTGCAGCCTCACAGCCCACTGAACAGAAAACAGACGCCCAACCCTCAAAGAACCAACCAGCAGGCTAAACACCCCGGCTCACGCTGGGCTGCTCGGTGTCTCCCCCTTGGGGATCTAAGAGTCCGGGAATAACTGGGCAGCTTAGGAATCTATGCAGAAGCCAAAAACGTTTCATGAGGCCTGGTGAGCACTCTAGTTCCTTATGGCCGAAAACGACACTCAGGACAAAGCTCAGCGGTTTAGGATTTGGACTCACAACCATCCACCGTCAGTCCTGATAATAAAAAGACTCGGTTGTTTTAAACTGCATTGTTCGTTTGAAAAACAAAGGCTTTGGGGCCTCTTTGTTTCCTCCCCACAAGGGCCCTCTATCTCAGAACGAAGCCCCCTTCGCTCCCACGGGCCGGCGGCACCAGGCGATACTCACAGAACTGCAGGCTGAGGCTCACGAAGGCCAGCAGCCCCGCCAGGGCCAGCCCCAGCAAGAAGCGACTGCGGAAAAGCATTATTGTCTGTTCTATTTTCTCCTCATGGCTTCACCTCCAATCGGGAACACGTTCTGTGAACAAAACAGAGGCAATAAACATGTGCTCCGAGGTGGAAAACCAAGTTTGTCAACTGAAAATAATCCAATTAGCCAAGTCCTCCAGCAGGGAAGCGCGAATCCTAGTCGCAGAACAAGAGCGGGTTACGTCTTTGCCCCCAAATGAGCCCGGCCGAGAATGCGCCCTTCAAATTAATAAGAGGAAACCAGTTTGTGAATGCTTCGTTTATCCGACATCAACACAGAATGAGACACTTCCCAGCAGGACCTTTCCAAAGAAAAATGTAAGGAGCTTTTATCGAGCACTTACCGCGTGCCAGACACTGAAGTCTTGACGGACCAGCTCGTGCTCAGCCCATTCGGACAACCAACTTCTAAATCTTCAACCTTTTTTGGTGAATATTTTGCTGATATGATTCCGGTCTTTTAAAAAACTGTAATCATTAACCTGAACGCCAATCACTGCCACACGTCCCACAGTCACACCTTTAGGGATGGCTGGAGTATATGCCAGAGGATTTGTCGCTACACTCAGGGCCCCATCTGCTAACTGAAGACCTTCTCCCATCTGGATGGGTGACCCTATTTCTGCTGTGTCCACCGGCCTTCTGCAGCCCCACTCTACCCATTCTCATTTCCCCTCATCACGTTAGAGCTGCGCAAAACGACTTTCAAAAATGCTGAATGAGGCCCTTCTGTGAGAAAAGTGAATGGCTGCTCGAGGGTGTAACCCATCAGTCAAGTTTCTCTCCTTGTTCTCTCTGGCATTTGAAACAGAACTTGAAAATCACACTCTCTTCAGAAAAGGTCCAACCTGTTATAGTAAGAGGACAAAAATAATTTCAAACCTGATTTTAGTGGCAGCACCTTTTCCTCCTTCAAATACAATCTCCTTCAGAGCCCCAATAGACACAATCAGACAAAAGCTCATTTGCTCACATGATGAGGGCTGGGGTTGCACAACTTTGTGAATACATGTACCAAAAGCTATTGAGGGGCACCTAGGTGGCTCAGTCGGGTAAGCGCTTGACTCCTGATTTTGCCTCAGGTCATGATCTCAGGGTCATGAGATCGAGTTCTACTTTAGGCTCCAAGCTCAGCGTGGTGTCCACTTGGGAGTCTCTCTCCCTTTCCCTCTGCCCCTTCTCCCCTCGTGTGTGTGTGTGCGCATGCGTCCATGCGTGCACGCATGCTCTCATTCTCTCTCAAATAAATAAATAAATCTTTAAAAGCTATTGAATTGTGCACTTTGGGTGAATTGGATGGTTTGTGAATTCTATCTTATATCATCTATTTTTTTTAAAAAGGCGTATCTGTAGGGAATGAAGCAGGATCCAGAGCCCTGGAGTCCCTTGTTTCCCAGACCCTAACCCCAGGAAGGACCCTGCAAGGGAGTCTGAGAACCACTCCTTTAAAGGGATTTGTCAGACTGTCTATAAAAAGAGAACATTTGCTAAAAGACTAACAAAAATATACCTGTACCTCACAATGGAGACTGTACTTTGGCAACCAACATCTCTGTTGACAAACAGATCCCAATTTTACACCTTCAAATAACCAC